CATTCCTTACAACATTTAAGACGCCACTTGCAACACCTACGTCCCATGTCTGGAGTGCCTGGGTCCAAGTCCTGACCCCTTCTGATTCCGACTTTCTGCTAGTGAACACCATGGGAGGCAGTGGCTGATGGCTCAGGGACTTGGGTCCTTGCCACCATACTGGAAGACTGGATGGAGTTGTAGACTCTGCGATTTGGCCTGGCCCCATTTCTAGCTGTTGTGGGCGTTATGGAAGTGAACAGGTGAACAGAAGATTCTCCTCCCATACTCCCCAACCCCCACCAGCTGCCTTTCAAATAAAATAAAAATAAGTAATTTTAGTGCAAAAAAATTAAAATTCATAAATTTTTCTTAATATATACCATGAACTTTTTGAAGAACTCTCATTTGCATTGATTTCAGTTTCTTTGCATCAAATAAGTTTATCTTTCAATTACATTTTACATGAATTTTTTGAAGTACCCTTATGTATTTGGGATATTAACTCCTTGTTGGATAGATTATTTGCAGGCTTTTTTACCCATTCATTAGATTGCCTTTTCACTCTGTTGATTGTATCCTTTGAGACACAGAAGTTTTACATTTTTATGCAGCCCAGTTTATTTTTACTTTTGTTGTTTCTGTTTTTGGTATCAGGTCTAGAAAATAATTGCCAAATCCAATGTCAGGAAGTTTCTCCTCCACGTTTTTGCTAAGGGTTTGATAGTTTTAGGTCTTTGTGCAGTTTTCTGTGTATGATGTTAGGAAGAGGTCAGCTTCTTTTGCATGTGGATTTCTAGTTTTCTCAGCACCAGTTGTTGAAGACTTTCCCCAGTGAACAGTCTTGGCACCCTTGTCAGAAGTCATTTGACCATAAACCAGGGTTATTTCTGATCTCTTCTATTCCATTGCTCTGTATGTCTGTCTTTATGTCAGTAGCATGAAGACTGTAGCTTTGTAATGAATTTTGAAATTGAGGAGTATGAGACCTCCACTTTTGTTCTCCTTTTCCAAGAGTGCTTTGTCTATTTGGATTCCATAAAAATTTTAGGATTGATCTTTCTGTTTCTGCCCCAGAGAATGTCATTGGGATTTTGATTAGGAATTGTATCGACTCTATAGATTGCTTTAGGTCGTCCTGAAATCATAGTAGTAGTAAGTTTTCCACTCTGTGCACAGGATATCTTTTCATGCATTGGTCTTTCATTTGTTTCCAGCAGTGTTCTGTGGTTTTCAGTGTATACGTCTTTTGCCTCATTGCTTTATATTCCTTCCCTGTTTTTTATTTTGACGCTATTGTAAATGGACTAACTTGCAACTTTGGCTCTTTGATTAAGGGACAGGATAGGAAAGGAGGTAGGCTTTTATTTTTCCTAACTTTCCATACTATTTGTGTTTCATTTTATGTCATATGTTAGGCTTTTAAATTTAAAATCAGACCTAGTTTATAGAAGGGAGAGAAAACGAAACAAATTTTGGGCAATGATGTAGTAGTTCATCCTTTCTGATGACTGGTTTGTAAATGTCACTTTCCAAAATGGTTTGCTTTCTCATCCCTTGAAATATCACCAACAATTTTGTTAATGTTAAAACCCCAGACCATGCACTGCTTTTATTTCGTAGTTTACCAAGTGACTTAACTTCATGCCCCAGCAGTAAGCTGACTTTAGCCATAGATCAAGTGACACGCATGACCGAAAAATAGCATGTGACCATTTAATGACACATGTGGTCAGAAAAGGGGATTTCCCGTGGACAAGAAAGGGAGGCCTATGTGGCCTGGGATGGCCTTGCAGAATCATCCGGTTTCCTTTCACTGTGAGTCCTCCCAGCAGAATTCCACCTCCAAGCTGTCTCAGATGAGAGTTACAGCAGTTGCTGCTCTCTGCTTCTGCTTTGCTTTTTTCCATCTAGTGCTGCTCAGTGGACCTGCAGGATCATTTTGAGTTTAATTTCCTTAGCACAAATAGGAAACTGGGAAAAAAAACTCAAAAGACTGGGCTTAGAGTCAAGTATGTTGGAGTCTTGCCATTTAACCTTTTTACTTTGAACTTTAGTTAATTTATCTGTAAGATAGCATTGGTACTCTCTCACCAGGATATTGTGATACCAAATGGAAATCTAAGGGAGATCTTGCACATAGTAGGTGAACAGTGAATTTTAACTCCTTTCTTCTTAGAAAAGAAAGTGCCAGATTGTCATTATGTACTTGAAAAACCAGCTGGGGCATGTCTCCTGCCAGCTCTAAGCAGCCACCCACACATTCTGGAGTAAGTCTCAACCAAGCCCATGTTCCCTCCATGGGGCCAGTACAGGACAGGTAGAGGAACAAAGGTCACGGATATCGTTCCCTACTTTGGTAAAAGTGTTGGGTCAGGGAACAGGCGCCTAAATAAAGCAGTGCTGTGACCAGAGATACATGCTCTTTTCCCTTTGGTACGAGAACACACGGTTTACTACCAGCCTGGCCTACTTGGTCTTTCATTGCTAAACGAGTTTTGCAGCTCACCATAGTAGGCTGTGATGTAGTGGTGAGAAATGAGCTGGGTGAGAGGTAGTGTTTAGGTGTCAGAGAGGGTTTAAGATCACTCAGCTCGCGTAGTAACTCTCTTTCTCGAAGAGCGTACCTGTTGTCCTGAGCCCATGCGTGACTCAGTCTCCCTTTTGGTTTTAAGGTCCTGTAACTCCTGCCTCAACACGCTGCTTTGTTTGCCATCCTAGCAGGGAGGGTGAACTGGTTCAGTTTCATTTCGGCAAGTCCAAGCCTGCTTTTCACATGGTACTGGTAATTAATTCCCTGGCTGTCTAAGTTGGTCAACTTGAAGAAAGCTGGGACTTTTCACTCCAGAATACCGTTCTTGCTTCCCAAACACCAGATGATTAATTGGGACTATAAGAAATACTGCCATCATTCCCCATTTCCCTACCTTGGTGTTTATTCTGTGGCTACCTATCACTTGTATGAGCATCTTCAAAGCCAAAAGGTGTTGAACATGGGAAGCATTGACACTGGAATTAGAGGCCTCGTTGGGGGTGTCTCCGTGGTCAAGTCATGAGAACTTTATTATCCTCCATTACCTAGCAGGACATTAGATCAAAGCAGTTACATTTCTCAGCTCACCCCTAGGATTATGGGGTTGAGAAATGGTGACCATAAAGGTCTTAGAAGTATGATGGGAGGATTAGAACTGTGGGCCTGGGAACCAGGAAAAAAAATGCAAAAAAATAATGGCAGTTTAGAAGATAAATAACTGAAATGAAGACCTTAGAAATAATAAACGCCAGAGGAGTGAGGCAGAAAACAGTGCTAGCAAGCAAGGAGCTTTTTGACTCGTCTCTGGGATCACCTACCAAAGTTTGGTCAACATTTGGCTGAAATTTGTCCTAAAGGCACTTGTCACCAAGTTGGGGGCAGAAGCAGAGCTGATTCGAGACAGCAGCCTGTCCCCGTTTGCCCTGTTGTCCACGGTTCTCCTGAACTGCCCATTTGGTCTCAGTACTTTTCCTCATGAGCCACAGTAGAGGCTAAGAACGTATCGTCTCTCTTCCAGATTAAATCAATATCTCTGTGGTAGGGCAAAATTAAGTGCATTAGAATTAGCAAGCGAATCTTGAGGCTCTGGCACTTTCCTTAAGCTTCAGGGTTTCTGTTGTCTTGGTCCACACACAGCATCTCTTGGGCTCCATACCCCTCTCCTTCCTGACATTGAGAGCGTGACCGCCCCCTTGACAGTCAGTGTGGACTTGGACATGGACTAAGAAGCATGACGCTTTTACTGAAGCTTATTCAATCCACAAAGAGGAAATGGGAGAATCCCAGTAGAAGCAGAAGACCTTCGTTTTCATTACATTTCAGGATGGGGAGAGACTAGAAGGAGGTGCCCAGCACCTCCTGTGGCGTCTCGGTCAAGTTTCTTAGTGATGTCCCGTGCCTTCGAGTGTGGCAGGGGACTCCAGGTGCGGACACTGTAGGGGGTAACTTGCACTTCACTTCCTTTTCTGTTGCATCTTGTCAGCAGTTCTCTCCTCCGGTGTGAGGTAGGAAGTGAGTTTTCTTCTAACATTGAGTCTCAGGCCTGGCCCGGGCGCTGAGTCTCTGAGGCAGGGTCGCATTGATAAAGCAGCGAGTCCTCTCCACGGTGTAGCCTAGCCTCGTGTTCGGTTAGGGTTAGCAGGAACGGCTACACAGGCGGACACAAGAATGCAGCGGCGTTGACTGGTCTCCTGTGACCAGTTTGGGCAGAGGGGCCTTTTGAAACAGCAGGCCCAGCTGACTGTTGCTCTTCATACCACGCAGGCAGCTCGGCGTTTGCCTGAGGACCAAGACCTGCTTCCTCCTCCTCCCTTTCCACTCGCTTTAACCCTTTTTTCTCTCCCCTCCCTCCCCCCCCAGGAGGAAACCCTGGGCAGCCTGTTCAACTAGAAAATTGATGACTGATAGAGATTTAGTGGCTAGACTGGGCTTTGTAAACTGAATCTGCCTTTGGAAGAGAATGAGGAAACCAGCTTAGCTCAGGCAGCTCAGCTCGTGGAGCTCAGCGAGCAGAGCCTCAGACGCTGTGCTGGCTGCTTTACTTCGGGGCTTCGGGCTCCCTTGCATTTACATCAAGGATTTGCAGCTGTCTTGTAGCAACATACACTAATTGAATTGTGTTTTGTCCATTGCTCTGTTATCATAAATGCTTTATATACATGAAGAATTCAGTACTCAATGACATTATGAGACAAGTAATAAATGAGGAAGCTGAGTCAAAGCTTAGTTATTTGCCCAGGGGAACTGGGATTCGCACCCAGAGAGCTTGACTCCAAAGCTCATTCTGTTAGGCCCACCGAGCTTTTGATTATTTTCATCTATAATCGTTGCTCTGTAACCCTGAGTTACAGAGAGGTGGGAAGCAGGGTGAGGAGATGACGGAGAGGGCCCTAGCACGGCTGGGGTCGTTCTCAGAGTGCCTGGTGCTGTGCTGGCTTCTCGGGTGTCCAGCCTCCCTAGTCACACACCACCCCCTCTTCTCTTCCAGTGCTGAGGAATGTAAGCAAGTTTGCTGGGCCTTGCGAGACTTCACCAGGCTGTTTCGATAGCTCACTCTGCTGCACTGTGCCTGTCACCCAGGTGAGTGGTGGACGCGCCCAGCACTGCCCTGTGCTGTCAGCGGTGCTGAGGTGTGGTGAGGGTCAGCGGCCGTCGGGGACTGGGGGATTGGGCCTGTAGTTGGGGTCAGGGAGGGACTTCAGTGAGCTGTACTGAGCGGCAGGCAGCTGCGGGGTCCTGCTTCTCCTGGGCCAGGGCAGCCAGGTTGTCAGCATCTTCTGGATGCCATTTCACGTCCACAAGAAAGTAACTGTTACAGGACACCACAAGAATTCGTCTCTTCCCGTGCGGACACCGCTAGGACAGGAAGTGTACGTGGTCGTGAACAGAGTGTTTGAGCCTAACTCCTTCGCTGAGGACAGTGCCGCCTAAAGTTGTCTGTGACACTTGACACTGACCTCCTGAAACTGGCCGTGCAGATGGCATGAGCAGGGAGCCTTCCCGTGTCGCTTGGATGCAGTGAGGCTGAAATGCCGGCCAGGACCGGCGCTTCCCGACTCCTGACTCGGAAGGAAGGCAGGAAGCTTAGCTGAGGACAGGACACGCGGGTGGCGGGGTTCGGGTGCCAGGTTCTTGTGGAGGAGAGGCAGCTCCTAGGCCAGCCTTCGACTTCTCACGGAGACGTGCCCTCCTGGCTGTGTGCGCCCAGTGGTGGTTTCCGAGGTAACTGTGTCAGCTGTTGACAGGGATGTTTAGCTGTGCCCTGCTGCGCCACAAATCACCTGCAGACTTTGCTTCTTACATGAGTGACATTGCAGTGTCTGGAGTAGCTAACAGTGGGACACCCTTAGGGTTGTTTGGGGACCGCGGTGGCTGCTCACAGCTAACATCTATGGAGCTCTTGCTAGTTGTCATGCTGTTCTTGAAAGTGCTTTTTGTGTGCTAACCAAGATAATCCTCATACAGTGCTCTGGCTTAATTACTACTGTACCCGTCTTATAGACGGGGAAATTGAGGCTCAAAGATGCCTGACAGTTTGCCTGATGTCATGTCACAATCAGTAATGGGGAGACCAGAATGCAAGTGGAGACGTTCTGGGGTGAGAATCCCTGCTCTTAACCACTTCACTCAGCACCCCTACAGGACCCCCCAGGAGGCTCTCAGCAGTGGTTTTCAGAATTGTGTTAGTAGGCAAATCTTTCAGAAAATCTTGGGGCTCATGCTGTGGTGCAGCAGGTTGAGCCACCACCTGCAACACCAACATCCCACCCATAATGGTGCTCCCGTTCGAGTCCCGGCTGCTCCACTTCAGATCCAGCTCCCTGCTGATGCACCTGGGAAAGCAGCAGCAGATGGCCCGACTGCTTGGGCCTGCACCCACACGGGAGATGCGGATGGAGTTCTCAGCTTCCGGTGTCAGCCTGGCCCAGCCTCAACAGTTGTGGCCATTGGGGAGTGACCCAGTGACAGAAGAGCTCTCCCTTTCCCTGTTTCTCTACCTTTCAAATAAATAAAACAAATCCTTAAAAACCTTCCGCAAAGCCCTGGCATTTGACAGCTGCGGAGGAGCTTTTCAGGTTGCTCTGGATTGGGAGGCCTGTCCCTGCTGGCTCACTCTTGACCCGCAACGCGTCATCCCTGGTTCCCACAGTCCCCACGGCACTGCAAGCACGCTGCAAACGGCTTTGCGTTAAAGCAGAAGCTCCTGTGAACTCATAACTTTGAGAAGTCCAGCCTTTCTTTTCCTTAAGATTTATTTATTTATTTGAAGGTTAGAGTTACAGAAGGAGAGGAAGAGACAGAGAGAGAGGTCTTCCGTCCACTGGTTGATTCCCTAAATGGCCACAATGGCTGGAGCTGGGCCAGCCAGGAGCCAGGAGCTTCCTCCAGGTTTCCGTGTGGGTGCAGGGGCCCAAGCACTTGGCCCATCCTCTGCTGCTTTCCCCAGATACATTAGCAGGGAGCTGGATCAGAAGTGGAGCAGCTGGGACTTGAACTGGCACCCATGTGGGAAGCTGGTGTTGCAGACGGCACAGCGCCAGCCTCAAATGGTTTTTTGTGACTTAGTTCCCATAGCAGATTTCAGAACGAGGTACCCGAGCAAGTACAGAAACGTGTGTTTGAGGCTGAGTATGGAGCACGGTTACTGACTGTCTTCTTTCTTTTGTCAGGAATGTCTTTTTTAATTAGAAGACAGGAAGAAGACAAAAACCAGACTGTGTCCCACAATCAGAAACCTCCGAGGTGGCAGAAGGACCTTCACTGCCACCAGGGAGTTCCGCCAGACAGGGAGAGACTCCAGCCTTCCGAGGCCGTCCTGAGGAGTTCCTGTTTGGGGCTGTGAGGGAAAATCAGCACGGTTTAAAAAAAGATGGCTGCGGCCTGTCCGGCATGGTGGGAGGGGAGCTGATTTCCTGGTGAACTTGTTTCTAAAAGGAGAAATGATTTTAAGAAAATAAAAAAAAAAAAAAAGGAAAACTAAACTGAAACCAGAACTGAAAGACTGGCCTGGTGGCAAGTGACACAGGCACGCACACGTGTACATGCACACACAGACAAGTGGGAGTGCGCGCGCTCTGGGAGACACATCCGCCTAGGGAGAGCGTGGGGATCCAGCGATTGGATGGAACGGATCAGGGTCACCCCGCACGGCTTTCTGACGTTTTCTTCTCTTTCCCTCTGCCCCTCCTTTAATGCCAGTGAGTAGAGATCCCTCCCACTGGCCCTTTTCCCAGCGGTTCCCTCTCACACTCGGAGCTGTTCAGACAAGGAGCCTGTCCTGCTTATGTCATGGTCATGTCAGGGATACCCGGGACCTGCCTGCATCGGAATCTGTGTATCCCGGTCCTGACCCTGTGCGGCCTCTGAATCCACTCCCAGTCCGCCTAAGGTTGTCCTCAGCCTTGGAGACAGGAGCCACAGTCGGTGTGCAGGGTGGGATGTAAATGTATGTTCTAAGCTTTAGGTTTTTGGGTTTTTTTTTTTTTTTTTTTTTGAGTTTTTTTTTTCTTAGAATTATTCACCCACAGATGTGAGACAGGAAAAAAGGGGGTGGGCGCGTGGAGAAAAAAAAATGTTTACAGGGCTAACTGTATTGTACTAAAGCGTGTGGCGATGAATTAGCTTCTTGGGGGAGGGGGGCGCGGCTGAAGAGGGAAGCCCCACGTAGAGCCCAGCGCGGCGAGGGCGAGCCCTGCTCGGCCGTCGGACACGCGGGCACTGCTCTGTCTGGCGTTGGAGCCATCTCAAGAACAAACCAACAGCAACAAAACAAGAAAGGAAAAAAACAATAAATTTTTAAAATTTAATCCGTGTTTCTTCGTTTTTACTTCCATTCGCTGCCTGGTAGCTGTGAGATGGCTCAGCCCGGCCCGGCCCGGCCTGGCTGCGGCCTCGGTGGGTGCCTCACAGACGCCCGGGTGTGCAGTCCTCAAGGCCCTGATGCCACAGAGCCCTCAGACTCCTTCTGTGGCTCCATTCCCGATCCACCCTGGAACTCCTCACAGGCCCTTCTGCATGGCCTCTTTCTGCAGTGGCCACCCAAACGGATCGTTCCCTAACCTGCAAAGGTATAGGCCTTTTTGAGAAAGGCTTTCTTGAAGTGTAATTGGCATGCAGTAAGACAGAAAATTTGGTAAGCTCTTGAATAGGACACACCCGTGTAACCACTGTTGTGGTCAGGATAGCAGCCGTACTGTACCTGTGGAAGTTTCCTGAAGCTCCTGGGTGGTCCCTTCCTCCTGCCCCTTTCTAAATAACCACTGCTCTGCTCTGCTCTCTGCCACTGGAGATTAGTTTGCACGTTCTTGAGTTTTGTGTAAACGGGACCAAACGATACGTTCCAGTGACCGGGCTTTGAGCTGGTCACCCGACTGCCAAGCTCCGTCTGGTCCTTCATGTGGCAGTGTTGTTTGATACTGACATCTCTGCCTTGTCTTCATGTCGCTGTTTTTTCCCTCTGGGCTGGAATCCTCAAGCGACAGAGTCCGTGAAACCAGCCCGCCTTCACATCAGCGGGACTGGGGGTTTTCCTTGCTGAAGAGGCAGCACTGGATGAAAGAAGTGAGATCCTGGGACTCCGGGGACTGGCACGCTGCTGCGGCCACCCGCTCAGTTAGACAGTGCTCAGTCCAGCCGCAGGCCCTTGCTGTTGTAAGGAATATGGCTTTTGTCACAGGAAGTCGTGTCTGGGGCTAAAAACAAAAAAAAAGTGGAAACTTAAACAGCCCTCCCAGTTGCTACAAACAGCTGTGGAGTGCATGGCCTAGTTCATGTCGCGAGCATTCCCTCTTTAGCTATACCTTTGAGGACTGAATCCTACGTCATTAACGATACAGGGCCCCACTGCTTCGGTAAGCCCAAGGACTAATGGGAAGCAGTCGTTGCTTTCTGGTGTAGCAAGGATACCACCTGGATTTCAATTTAAGAAGGCACTGTTTGGGATTAGGTGTCCCGCAGGCACTGTGTTCCTGCTTGGTGTCGTCTTAGTGGAAGCTGGATGGGCATCTTTCTTCCATGTGTAGGTCAGCTAACCATTTGCTGAGTCATTTGAAGAAGTGCGTGTTCCATGACTGAATTAGCTGAGGTTTCGGTTGTGATTATGTGAGACACAGATCACCAATTATTGGGCTTGTTCTTTGCAGCCTGTAGTTTGTAGAATCCGTTTGAAGAGAAGGTCAATATCTGAGATTGTGTCATACATAAGTCCCAAAGGAACTTGTGCTTTTGAATCACAAACCGAATTTTCATGTCCACCTTTGGTGGCCCTGGTTTAAGTGAATCTTCTTAAGATGAAAGCCAAAATCCAGAGAGTTGAAAGCCAAGGTTAGGGGCCGGCATTGTGGCACAGTGGGTAAAGCTACCCCGCCGCCTGCAACACAAGCATCCCATATGGGTGCTGGTTCAAGTCCTGGCTGCTCCACTTCTGATTAAGCTCCCTGCTAATGCACCTGGGAAAGCAGCAGAAGATGGCCCATGTAGGAGACCTGGATGAAGTTCCTGGTTCATGGCTTCAGCCTGGCCCAGCCCTGGCTGTTGCAGCCATTTAGGGAGTGAACCGGCAGATGGGAGAACTCTGTCTCCCTTTCTCTGTAATTTTGCCTGTCAGATAAATAAAATGAAGATCTTAAAATCCAAGATTAGGCCGGCGCCGCGGCTCAATAAGCTAATCCTCTGCCTAGTGGCACCGGCACACCGGGTTCTAGTCCCGGTCGGGGCGCCGGATTCTGTCCCGGTTGCCCCTCTTCCAGGCCAGCTCTCTGCTGTGGCCAGGGAGTGCAGTGGAGGATGGCCCAAGTGCTTGGGCCCAGCGCCCCATGGGAGACCAGGAGAAGCACCTGGCTCCTGCCTTTAGATCAGCGCGGTGCGCCGGCCGCGGCAGCCATTGGAGGGTGAACCAACGGCAAAGGAAGACCTTTCTCTCTCTCTCTCTCTCTCTCACTGTCCACTCTACCTGTAAAAAAAAAAAATCCAAGATTATGCAACAAGATGTGCCTGACTTTTCGGACTATATTGCCAGCAAATGAGAAAGTGGCCTTCTAAGAATGTTCTTTATAGGGACAGCTATCAACATGTTCTCCCACAAGACTGAAAAGGAGTAAGTTCTTAGGTCAAAAGCTAAGAGAGGGAGTCTTGAGTTAGAAGGAACTATTTGATTCGATGAATCTGGTGAGAACAGAGGAAGAGAGAGACGCTGTCGTGGGTGCCAGCCACTTGTTTCATCCCCATGCCGTGAGTATGCTGTGGATTCCAACGTCAACAGCTGCGCGGGTCCCCAGAGCAAAAAGGCTCCCGCCAGCTGGAAGCTGAGCATGGTTAGCAAGGAGTGCATTGCGACAGGCGGAAGTCCCGCCCTCGCCTCTGGAATTTGTTGTCTGCCACTTCTTTAGGATGGTCTTTGTCTATACCTGACTACTACAGCTCAAGGCTCCAGGAAGTGGCAGCCAGAAGTCTTGTTTCATTTGTAAGAAATCAAAAAGCAAGGAGAAACCCAAGGAAGACTTTGAGCTGCAACTGATCGACCAAAGTCACGCCACCTTGGTCACATGGTATGCGTGGGCCTGCGTCCCTGCTCCACCAGTCGCTAGGTCTCTGTTCCCCACATAACTGGCTGGAACATGGAAAAGCAAAAAGCATGCACGAGCCCGTTTGTCTACACCTAAGGATGGAAACAACTCAAGTACCACGAGAAGTTGTGAGAACCGGAAGAAGCATTCATTGAAAAGAATCCATCTCCGACAGTCGTGGCCTGGGGCTCCCTCCCCAGCTGTCAGCCTGCTTACTTGGGAGCTGATGTCTCCTAATGTCGTGAGCCCAGACATCTTTCTTCAGCGTCGGAACCGTACAGATGTGACTGCTGCCCATCTCGAGTTCCCACTCCCCCCACCCCCTGCCTCTTTCTGTGTTCCCCCAAATCAGAACACAGCACACCACCCCTGCGGCACCTGTCCTGCACGCAGACATCCCAGTGTGCATTCCAAGGGCAGAGTCAGACTGTGCCAAAGCGGGAGTCAGGGGAGAGGGGCCCAGAGGAAGCACTTAGTTGGAAGGTGTGAGACACAAATGGCTTTTTAGGCTGACTCAATTCACTGCAGCGCCAGCATCCCATGTTGCAGCACCAATTCAAATCCCTCCCAACCCAGCTCCCTGTTAGCGCACCTGGGAAAGCAGCGGAAACTACGTACGTGGGAGGCCTGGATGGAGTTCTAGACTCCTGCCTCTGGCCAGGCCCAGCCTCATCCATCGCAGCCATTTGGGGGGTGACGAGTATTTGGGGAAATCTCTCTTCTGTCACTCTGCCTTACAAATAAATCTTTTTAAAAAAATAATCAAAAAACTGAATGCTGGGACTGGTGTTGTGGCACAGGGCTAAGCCACCACTTGGCAAGGCCAGCATCCCATATCAGAGTGCCAGTTTGTGTCCTGGCTGCTCCACTTCTGGTCCAGCTCCCTGCTAATGCATCTGGGAAGGCAGTGGAGGACGGCCCTTGTCACTCCCAATGTGGGCCTTACGGGGTGAACCAGGAGATGGAAGATCTCTTCTCTGTCATTCCCTCTGTGTCACTCTGCCTTTTAATAATCCTTTTTTTTGGGGGGGGGGCAGGCAGAGTTAGACAGTGAGAGAGAGAGAGAAAGGTCTTCCTTGCATTGGTTCACCCCCCAAATGGCTGCTCTGGCCGACGTACTGTGCCAATCTGAAGCCAAGAGCCAGGAGCTTCCTCCTGGTCTCCCATGGGGTGCAGGGCCCAAGCACTTGGGCCATCCTCCACTGCACTCCCTGGCCACAGCAGAGAGCTGGACTGGAAGAGGGGCAACCGGGACAGAATCCGGCGCCCCAACCAGGACCAGAACCTGGAGTACCGGTGCCACAGGTGGAGGATTAGCCTAGTGAGCCGCCGCGCCGGCCTTCCTTGCCTTTTAGAGATTTGTGCTATTTACAGGAGACATGTCGTGTCCAGGATTTGCTTCTAACTAATCTCAAGGTGGGAGTGTGGGTGGAAGTCTAGAAGGGGAAGGTGGACTGTGCACTCACTGAGAATCGTTAAAGCTGCTGCATGGGTTCATCCCCTTCTCCCTATTTTCACAAACATTTACAATCTTCCATGCCAAGGTCAACACATTGTTCAGGCCAGAAACTGCTCTGAGTGCCCAAGCTGCATGCATCGTCCTCGCGTGTTTAATAACGCAGGAAATAAATGAGACTGACAGACTGTACTGGCCCCTCGTGTAGCTGGAATCCCGGCCCTCAGCTCTCTCAAGGGCGAACTGATTTGAACAGCTTTTTAAGACCACACGCGTTGAAAATGCCCCCCAACCCCCCAACCCCCCAACCCCCCGCCGCCCCCCCCATCCCCCCCCCCCCCCGGCTTCAGCCGGCTTCCTCCTGGAAAGCCAAGCCAGCCTGCTGGGTGTTCCCGAAGGCCCAGCTGACCCAGCAGGGCAGGGGCTGCCTGGGATCAGAGGCAGGGTCTGGCAGAAAAGCCTGGAAAAAAAAAAAAAAAGGCAAGCAACAGCCAGGTATGCTTTTAATATTTATTCCAAAAATACTAAAACTCCACTTTCTACCCCAGGCTCCTGGACTCCCCCAGAAGCAGGGGAGCTGCCAGCCCTACGTGTCTCGTGGGGCCCCTGGGTGCTCAGACCCATCTCAGGAAGGAGAAAGACAAGGAAGCGAAGCTCCAGCCAGGGCACCCACCTATCGGGCCGGCACCCAGCTGAGGGGGCCTGGCCCACACCCTCCTTGGCTCTTGTGGCAGCCGCGAGCGTGGGCCGCCTCGGAGCAGTGTGCCTCCTCCGCAGTGACCGAGCC